AGATTTTTAAAAAGAAAAAGAGGAAGGAAAGAAACCAAGATGAGGGAACTATGTGAGTAAAGGCACTGAGGCGTCTCCATGTGTCATGATCCAAAGTCTGGATTTTCTCTGAGCCATGTCCTTAAGACTCTGAGATCCTCAACATCACTTTTCTAAAAGCCACTGCAGGCTTTTTTTTTTTTTTTTTTCCTCCGTTGGGGGGCGGGCAGGACCAGGTACCTGGTATTCCTTTCAAATAATGGTTTTATAATACCAATCTGCATAACTAGCTTAACAAAGAAAATCTTAACCAATTAGCCACATGATCTTGAGCAAGTCATTCAATTACTCCTGCATGTGTCAGCTCCCTCACATGCTAAAATAGTTGGATTAAATGATCTCCGTCCAAACAATCTCAAATTCTCTAGCTTTTTTGAAAAAACTGAATGAATAAACATTACGACCTAACTTTTTCAATTTGTAAAATGAATAAAATATCTATTAACAATTTTAAGGGCCGCCTGGGTGGCTCAGTCATTAAGTGTCTGCCTTCAGCTCAGGTCATGATCCCGGGGTCCTGGGATCGAGCCCCACATCGGGCTCCCTGCTCGGCGGGAAGCCTGCTTCTCCCCCTCCTTCTCCCCCTGCTCTCTCGCTCTGTCAAATAAATAAATAAATAAATAAATCAAATCTAAAAAAACCCAGAACTATAGATCTAATATCAGTTTGTGGTCATAGGTGTAAGGGTAAAATATCATATCTATTAATAAGAGAAAGCCCAAAATTTTAGAAAAATAGGACAAGACTGAGATTTGGGCTTAACTCAGACATTATGAAGATACCAATCTTGGCACTGAGGGTTCAAACCTGTAATAAGAGCCAAGTGTGTAAAATAAGCAGTCGAGGTTCAAAAGGTAGTAAGACAAATATAAACCTGGTTTTGAGTCCAGGAGGACCCAGTGACAGACATAAATAATTACAGCATACTAGCACACATAAGAGAATGAATGAACAAGACAGAGAGAGTGAATAACCCAGTGGGGTAAGGAAGAGGGAGGACCAGAGGATACAGAAGACTTAAAAAGCAGACGGTGCTTTTTTTTGTATCCTGAAAACTCAGTAGACTTTGTCAGCAAGACAGGAGAGAGAAAGGCATTCTAAGCAGTGGGGAGAATATATGAGAAGGCTCTGAGTCAGGAAACAGTATGACTCTTTCAGTGAATTAACTGGATTAGTACAGTTGGAGCTTCAGATTTATGGTGGGGGAAATGCAGGAGATGAGCCAGATGATGAAGGGCCTCTGATAAAGAGTTAGAACTAAATATGTACTGTAGGTAAAGGAGAAGTATGGATGTTATGGAAGAAGCTTTGAATAGATTTGCATTTTAGAAAAGTCACCTTGGCAGGAGTGTAAAGGATGGATTAAAGGGAGTCAACCATTAGTAACCTCATTCTACAACCCGAAGTTAAGTACATCATCACATACTCAACCAGAAATCAGAAATGAAAATAGTAATGCTTAAAACAAATAAAGCTAAATCATCAAAAGAAAATCATTTATCTTCATGAATGCATACTGTGGAATTAAATATTTCCTATATATCTTAAAAAGGAAGAGGTTTCTAAAATTAGGTATCATAAATGAAAATTACATGGAACTAGTTGTATCCTGAAAACCAGCTACTCTTCAGACATCTATCCCTTTTTGTAGACATAACACTGCTGACATGCAACATCAAAATGCAATAGAATCTTTGGAATTGGAGCTTACACTGATTACTGACAGGGACTTCTCTTTAATTTTATATATATGGAAACTGAGGCCCTAAGAGTCTAAGAAATTAGCCAAGGCCATATGTTAGTAGACAGTGAAGACTGGAATCCATGTCTTATGATTTCCTTTCTAGAAACTGCTGTAGTACATCATGTTTATAACTCTAGAATTTTGAATGATAATCCAAAAGACACTCTGGTAGTACCATTTTCATTATAGTAATAATGAAATATAAATAGTAAAACTAAATTATAGTAATAATGAACCATAAAATTATTTTTATGTTTCATATGCCTCAGAAGAAAAACAAATCTAGTAGATGTATCCATACATCTGACAAAAAGAAATCTCTTCCTGAAATCTGTGTATCAATAAGAACACCTCCACCCCAACACAGAGACAAAAGGTATTCTTGTCTAAGGAGTTGAAAAATTTCCCTTCTCAAACTTGGAAATAATTAAATTTGAAAAAGGAAAGGCCTTAGATTAATTTATCTTTATATAATTAAACATCCAACATCTTTAACATGTTTTAACATTTTACTTAGGTCTCAATTCTTAATCTGTTGTGCTCCCCACCCCCTATAATATTAGATTCTTGAAATACATTTTTTCCTTCACTAGTACACAGTGGAAGTGGCAACACTGACAAAATGCCTTATAAATACTGCACATTTCACAAATTTGCATAGTGACCAAAATGTTTTAATTTTTAGACTTCTCTAATTTGCACTTATGTCCACTCATGTAAATAGATTCAAATAATATAAAAGCATAAAATTAATAGCTCTCTTCCATGCCTCTACAACCCTCTCTTAAAGAATCCCCCAAATACTTGTAAGTTTGATGTGTATCCTTACAGACTTTTTAATGCTTATATAACAAAAGGTGCTAATCCTCAGAGTCAATATATATTTAATACCCAAACTGTACTGATAATTCAATTTTTAATAATTCAGAAGGTAGATCATTACCTGATTTGGTTTCCAGTTATCACAACAGACATCAATTATATTATTATTCAGGGGTTATAAAAAAAAAAAGTGAGCTGAACCCCAAGTACCCTGTTTCTTCATTATCAGCATCTCAATTATTTTATTTATTTATTTTATTTGCTTTCTCTCGACACAGATTACATGTGAGCTGGAATCACTGTACCTCCAGTGCTGTGACACCTACCAGATAATAAAATATTTGTTGACTGGTCAATATGTTTACTTAGAAATCATGAAAGCTGCTTTTTTAAAAAGTTACTGAAATTTGCTTAATTTATCATTTGTCTTTCAAAAATAATGAGGAAAACAAAGGTCTGTTTAGGGTTTTTTGGCTGTAGTTCTAACCAAATATCTGCTCAATTGATCAATTTTGAAATTTTAATCAATTTGAAAGTCAATCAGGCAAAAACAAAAAAAAAATAAAAAAATGTAAGCTCCTCAATAGGTTAAATATTGCTATGTAGGATCCCCTTGTATTTTTTTTTAATGATTGCAATACTCAAGGATTAAGTACATTAACCCTAATCTTTCAGGTTCTAAGATCAAAAGAAATCTCAATCTTAAAAAACTGTTACTAAGAAAAAGACTAAGGCAGGCAAAATTCTTTGCTTTGGCATAGTCAAATGTGTGTTTACCCAAAATGACAGAACTACTGTTAAAATGGGCTCCACTGCCTGCCACATCAGACTTCATTTACAGGCCTCTCTGATGAAGTAGCTATCTAACCTGAAGAACTGTCAAGCAAATGCAGACTTCCCAAGCCATATATTTTTTTTAAAAACCATATACACAGGTTGTTTTATTTGAATTTCACCAAAGTCTGGGCTAGTTACCAAGAACTCTGCATTAAAGTCAAGACTAACTCAACCTTCACAAAAAAACTGTTTAGCAGGATTCTCTAAAAGAGCTGCTAGTCATCCTTACAGGTCTCAAATGACGCTTCTGCAGAGCTCTAGCTTTGGGACTTCAAATTCCGATACATTATTTGGAGACTGAACTTCACGTTATCCCTCTCCACGAACGTATTTTCAAAGCACAGAGAGAAGCCCGAACACACCTCCCATCACTACTTGACTCTGCCCAACACTCAGGCAAGACTTCAGGACAGATCTAATAATGCAGGATCAGCAAAGCTGACTATCTAGGAAAGCGAAGCCAAAACCACACAGCCTTTCCTATCTTCAGCGGCAGGCACGCTTAACCCTACGACACTCAAAGAATCTAGAGTCTATATACCGACCTAAGGTGCTGCCACTCTCTCGCTCCCAGAGCAGCGAGACCAGCATGCCCCCACAGGGATCCCGGGGCAGGGAAAAGAAAACTGCAGAACCACCCCACGATTTCTCCAACTAAGAAACAACGCGGATCAATCCTCCCACTGAGCACCGAATAAATCTCACGTAGAAAGAGACCTGTTCCAGGATGCTGACCAGCCACAGACTGTCTACTGAGCTGGCTCCGGATGCCCCTAGAGCCCCCTCCTGCCCCGAGCCGACCCAGTAGTGCCTGCTGAACCGCGCCCTCCATTCGAGATCTGCCGGAGACCCGCCAACTCGCCCCCTTATAGACTGGAGACCATGCCAAGTTACCGCCCCCCTCTGGGCAAAGCAGAAACCCCAGTAAAGACTCCGGTCTCCGCCGAACACCCTTCCGCACCCAGCAGCCCACCAAGGCGGCCCGGCCCCTGCAGGGCGCAGACACATCGCCTTCTCGCCCGGAGACCCGGAGAAACAGAGCCCCCTGCCCCGAACCCTAATACGCTGCTTTGTCACCCAGGGATGCGAAACACTCCCGCTCAAAGGACCCCCAACACCCCAATGCTCTGCCCCTTCAGAGATTCAGGACCTGCTAAACTGAATTCTCTGCCCCCAAAGAGCCTGCGACCACGGTAAGAGGACCCCTTGTTCCGGAACCCCGCTAGGTCTCCTCGAGGAACCCCAGGACCCTGACAAATCTCCCTTGACCCTGAAGTGGGACCCTGTGTGCCACCACCCACCTCCACGCCAAGCTGGAAGAGCCCCAGTAAACCGCCCCCTCGCTTCAGGAGCCCCGGCACCCGCCACACCGCCCTTGGGCGCCCGCACTCCGGTCCCACCCGCCGCCTCCTGCCCCCCGCACTCCCGAGCCCCGCCAAGCCTCGCGCCCACCAGGCAGCGCCTCGCAGCTCGCGGAGCCGCCCCCGTCGGGAGCCAGCCCGCCCCGGCTGCTCCGAGTCCCCGCTCTGCAGCCGGGACGCGCTCTGGGCTTCCTTACCTGGGAGCGCCGGAGGGCGAGCGGACCGAGGAGCCCTGAGGAAAAGAAGGCGGCAGCAGGGAAGGGGCGGCCCAGGCCTGCGACTGCGGCAGCTCTAACCTCTCCGCGAGGAAGCGCTCGTGTGAAGAGAGCCCTCCCGCTTCGCGCGCAGCCGGGAGACCAAGCTACAGCCGTGCCCGCCGCTCTTCCCGCGAGATCCCAGCCACGGCGAGGGGCGGTCACGGAGGCTCGAGTGACAGCCCGGAGAGCCTGTCGGCTGCTGCGCAGGAGGCGGGACTCGGAGCCCATTGCGACCAGTTGTAAAATAGAAAAGGTGATTCGTCCCGCCCACCCCTTCTCCCCTCCCCCGCCCCTCACAATTAACTGGGGGCAAAAGTAGCAGTGACCTTAAATAGTCAGAGGCAGTGGCGGATCGCGGCAAGGTATCTCGGGTGGGGAGGCTGGGCTTGTGTCTGGTTCTACTCAGCCTCCGTAGACACACCTGGTTCAGGGAAGAAGCGGGTCTTCACACTGGTGTAGGCTGAGGCGCCGTTACCCTTGGTTACAGCGCGGCCCGAAGTGCACAGAAGGTTCGCACCTTCCTGGTTGAAGGCGCACCCTCCTGGGGTTACTCGGGTGTAAACCTTCCCCCCATCTCGCCTCTCTTCCCTCTCAGCCTCAAACAGGGCGCCATTGTTGAGATGCCCGTGTTTTCCAAACCCCAAGTCAGGACAGCTGGTCTGACTAGGGACTCTCTTCTGATTCGTGCATTTATTTCTACTTAAAGCCTTCTAGAAGAGTAAAAAGTAAATCTCACTTGAGTCCCAGTATAACAAATTCCAAAATTCCATGAAAAGTCGCATCACTGTAGATAGACCCCAGTGTCTGGTACACTCAGGGCACTGAATAAATGTGAAAGGAATGAATGAAGTTTGTGATATTCGAATATTTGAAATCTGGACCCGCCCCCAGAAAATTCGGGCTTTCTTAGCCTTCTCTCTACAATGACAGCCAATCTCTTCACCAGTAAGCCCAGTCACTCCATTATTATGCCTATCCTGTAGCGTTCATTCATCTTCCCGCCCTTCCTCCCTTACCCACAGCAAGAAGCACCCTTTCTCCTCATCAAGGTTAACCCCTGCACCTGTGCACTGGATCTCAGCCGTTCCCGGATTCTGTTGAATCATCTATCCTTTCTTTCCCCATTATCAATTTTCCCTCTAATCTGGCTCTTTTCTCCTACAAACACACTCAGTCGCCTCCAACCTTTGAACAGAACAAAACCACCCTACCTCTTCCACCCTCTAAAGCTACTCTATCTCTTCTCAGAATCACATTTTCTTGAGAGACATTAAAGTATGTTTGCTGTCTCCACTTTCTCATCTCATTTTTCCCACTACAATGTTGCTTTCACCCACACAGTCTGCTCTTCTCTCAATGGTCACAAAAGACCTCTTTCCTAATGGGCAAATATTCTATTTTTGGACTTCTTTCCCAGTGACCTCTCTGCAGCTTTTGACAATGCTGGCCATCTCCTCCTTTGGTGACTGCCTAACTACATTCTTCTCATTCCTTAGCTACTCCTCTGATTTTGGGGGGCGGGGGGAAGGGGGAGGTCCCCTTTCCTGGTCTGAAAATGATTATGTATTGATGTTTCCTTATCTTATAGCCATATCTTGTCCATAATAAGAAAAATGACCACACATAGTTGCACACTTTGAATGCCAATAAGTGGCTCAGACAAGAGCTGGTAGAAGAGGCCTGTGGAATGTGACATGTGACTATAAGGCTGGGTCTTAAAACAGTAGCATGGCCCATACAAATGCAGGACAGAAATGGAGGCCTTTCAGAGAAAAATAGTGTGAACCGAGCACAGAGGAAAGGACGTGGGCCAAGCCTGGCTATGGGTCGACCAGTTTGGTTGATGGAAGATTCCTGCAGAACAGCAGTGGGAGGTAAGATTAGAGAGGACTCAATATTAAAAGGCCTTCCAAACCAAGCCAAGCTGATTCAGCTTGGTTCTGTATTAAATGGGGAGCCAGAACCAACCCTGACATTTGTAAGGTCCACAAAAAGGCTACGTGTAGAAGCCCACAGTTAAATGTATAAATATGTAAAAGTTATAAAACAAACTAACAAACTGTGAAATTTAATATCTCTGTGTCTGTGTGTGTGTATGTGTGTGTAACCTTTCACCTTGAAAATATACTTTCAATACGACTTGGAAGACCAGGTTTGAACTTAGAATTCTGGGACTTCTCAGAGTTCCTTGCTAGAACAGGGAGAGCTGGTTTCCACACAGAGCAGCCTTCCCCCCAATTCACTTCCCACAGCCAGTTAAACCCCGTACTCCATAGGCACTCCAGCCCACATGTCCACTTTTCCCTCTACAAAACTAATTTCTTGGCCACTCCGCAGGTCCAGGAGTACCTATCAGAAGATCTGGGGAGAAGTCCACACAGGCCCTGGAAGTGGGCTCACAGCCATTTGGGCAGAGAATTCTGGCTTCTGCATACCTGGAGCAAGGTCTGAAGAGGTGAAATCGGCTCCAGATGGACACATTCCTTTGGCTTGATGGCCTCCTGCTCAGTATGTAGGAATGCAGCCGGAGAAGGGCCAGAACAGAGCCCCTTAAAGGCAGGCCCCTCCCACCTGTGCCTAAAGGTGGTACCAGCAGAGCCACTGAATTTCTTTAGGAGGCTAATGGCATATATAGTAGATCTGTATCTTGAAGTATAAATCTGTGTGTTTTCTATGTTTCCTACCCCCTCTCCTCTTGCACTGGTATCTTAATGGCAGGAATATTCTGGAAAGAAAACTCTTCTTGACTCTGTCGCTATTGGGCCTCTTCTCTCTAATGCATAATTTCATACACTATACCATTGTATGATTCCCTTATCAATCAGTGTATCAGAAACCTGGGTTTCTCTAAATGTGAAAAAAGACAAAAGCTATGAAGCACTCTTAGCCTGGACTACAGCTTGGAACACTTACGTTCGACTTCTAAATTAAAGGGCTTTGGAAGTAGAAGCTCTTGAAGAGGCCCTATGTAAAGGGTATACAGGCAGGATGAGTACTGAAAAGGCACTAAAGCCACTGCAGACAGGGGCACCCCTCTCACCATCTGTCTCTGTGGCACGATGCTTCACTCTGTGGCCTGACAGTCACGCTCTGTCTCCCAATCTCTCCATCTGGTCCCAAGTGCTCCCTTCCTCACGTCGTGCAGTCAGGGCTGCCAAGGAGCCAGAACCACCATGGTCTCTGTTTTCGAGATCCAAACGGAGAATTCCACCCATGAATCCTTGCATCTCTTGGTGGTACTGCGGGTGATTTCAGCAGAGTGTTGGCACTTGCTTGATCCCAGGACTGGAGTCTGCTGACAGCTTCACTCTTACCATCTGTGGCTGGTCTTTGCCAACCAGCAGTAGAGCAGAACCAGCTAGCTTCTCACTCAGCTCTTGCCATCTGCTGCCTGTATCTGACCTATCAGTCCAGGTGAGCGCAACCAAACACTCCGATCCCTGTTCCCACCATCCTTACTAGTGTCCCACTCTCTGGGCATGCCCTGGGAAAAGCTACCTCCTGGCCACTGCATATTCATGAGGGGCATAGAAGACAGCATTGTTTGAGAGTCTAGAAGAAGAAATCTGGCTGTCTCAGACCCAACCTCCATTTCATCCCTGTGCAGGTTTTGGGGGAGCACCTATCTGGTTAGGTTGGAAGGCTACAATTCTGTATCAGTTACCCCAAGAATGAAGGAGCTGTATTCATCTGTCCATTTGCTGACCATGTACGAAACCTCTGAGTTTGGTTTGTTTTCCTGCAGATACCCAGTCACAAAGGCAGAAAATCAAGAAAGTTGTAGTGCTTTTAAAATATGTCTACAAGTTCTTTGATACACATCCCTTCAAGAGGGGGAGGTTAATTCCCCTCCCCCTGAGCATGGGCTAGACCTACTGATTCACTTCTAACAGAGACTATGGCAGAAGTGACAGTGGATGACTCCTGAGACTAGGTTGTAAGGGACGCTGTGGCTTCCTCTGTGGTCTTTCTCATTAATCACTCACTCTGGAGGAAGCCAGCCGCCATGCCATAAGGACATTCAAACAGAGGCCCACATGGCAAGAAAATTAGGCCTCCAGCCAATAGCTATGTGAGTGAGCCATTTTGGAAACCCTGGTCCCAGTTCAGCCTTCAGATGCCCGCAACCCCAGCCAACACCTTGACATAACCTCATGAGAGACTCTCAGCCAGAACCCCCAAGCTATGCCTCTCCCAGATTCCATACAGAAACTGTGTGAGATAAGACATGTCTTGTTTTTAAGCCAGTTCATTTTTGACATCGTTTGTTGTGCAGCAATAGATAGCTAATACAAGAGTGTTAGAGTAGTTTGGTCTTCTACTCCTGGACGAAAATCTAAAAACTCACATCCTGCCAATCATCAGGCACTGACGTCACCTAACGGGCAAGGAACACTGAGTTTGTAGCCGTACTTGCTACATCTACAGTTCAAGTGGTGTGGCTCCAAAAGAAAGTGGAAGAAACCATTTCTTGGTGGGAACAAAGGTTCCAGTGCGTTCAGACTATTTAGAGCATCACAGCAATTAGAGATAACAACAACTATGTGCCATTTGGAGGCAGTTAATAGTAGGTTTTGAACAGTAGGGAAACTTTTCACTCTAAAAAAACCTCCAGTGTTTCACACATACTACTGTCATCCAATCTTATGGGAAAGTATATGTTTCTATGAAAACAGAGAGGGGAAAAACCCTTAAACATCCTCTTGCCCATCCATATTAACTAAATATGAGAAGTTGAACATTCCATCGATAGGGGCCCCGTCAAAATTATATTGACGTCCTGACACCATTAAGTGCCCATGTGAGAGCGGAGTGTGTTTGACAGCAAGAAGATTGAAATTCTTTCTGAATAAAAAACTGTGTTTCTGAAGTTTTACCATTGTGAATTAAGATTCAGTGGGAGAGCAGTTTCCCTATTAAATAAAAAATGCGGAAAGGCCATTGAAAAGGGAGACCAGTTAGCCAAATTACCTATACTGCCTGTCTAAATTCATTTTACATATGTAAGAACTATATAGATGGGCCATACATACAAAGAGTAAAGTAATTTGCAAGTTGACTTAGAGAGAACTTACAGCCAAGAAGATATATTTGAGATTCATTTG